TGGGAGCCGCAGCCATGTGGCACTGGGCGTCCTCCCTGCCTTGAGCAAGTCGCTTGAGCTGGATGGTCCTCAGGTGGGGAGGGTCCCAGTGGAGTGCAGGGTGGGGACCAGGGAAGTGCTGTCTCATGCCCCTCTTGTCTCCCCGCCACGCTGCAGCTCCTGATCGCTCGCCGGAGGAGAACCAGCTGTTACTTCTACCCCCGTGCTTGGCCCAGTGTCAGGAGCGCGGACTGGTGGGAGCGGGTGGTCCTGAAAGAGTTTGGACCCCAGGACTGGCTGGAGAAGTTTCGGATGTCCAAGGAGACCTTCTTCTATGTCTGCAACCAGCTGCGGCCTGGGCTGGCTCCGCACAGCACCCACTTCCACCCCACCCTGCCCCTGGAGAAGAGGGTAGCCGTGGCCCTGTGGCACTTGGCCACCAACGTGGAATACCAGACTCTCAGCCCGCTGTTTGGCGTGGGGCCCTCCACGGTGCAGATGTGTGTCCGGGAGGTGAGCTATGCCATCGTCTTGCTGCTGAAGCCCCTCTACCTCCGACTGCCCAACGAGAAGGAGCTGGAGAACATGGTGCGCATCTTCCGCACCCGCTGGGGCTTCCCGCACTGCATCGGTGCCCTGGACAGCCTTCATATCCCCATCCACCCACCCCTGCGCCTCAGCGCCGACTACTGCAACGGCCAGGGCTGGCACTCCATCCTGACGCAGGCCACTGTGGACGGGCTGGGTCAGTTCTGGGATGTCTCCACCGCCTTCCCTGGCAGCATGGAGAACAGCGCAGTCCTGGAGAGCTCCAGCCTGTGGGTGCTGGCCAAGGAGGGCAGGCTGTGTCCCAACCCTCCCAAGCACTTCATGGGGAAGGCGCAGAAGTATGTGCTGCTGGGTGATGCCACCTACCCCTTGCAAGACTGGATCCTCAAGCCCTACCAGGAGGACGAGAATCTCACCCAGCGGCAGCTGCAGTTCAACTACCGCCTGAAGCGAGCGCACAGCGTGATCGAGAACGCCTTCCTGCGCCTGAAGGCGCGCTGGCAGATCCTCCTGAAGTGCGATGACTGCAGCCTGGAGCTGCTGCCCACCCTCGTCCTTGCCTGCTGCATCCTGCACAACGTATGCGAAGCCCACGACAACCCCTT